TTCTGTAATGTGTAGGCATGAAGCTGGGAGGAGCAGTTACAGTAACTAGTGCAAAAAAATCCGGGCTTTTGAAAATTCAGAAATAGCTGATTTCATTCACCCTTCCAAAAGGTGTTGGGATATAAGAATAGATTTTTTTTTTTTGTCTCTTCAGGTGTGAAGCCCTTCCAGTGTAAAACCTGTCAGAGAAAGTTCTCCAGATCTGATCATCTGAAGACTCATACCAGGACTCATACAGGTAAAACAAGTGCGTAAACTTTTCTTCACATTTATATTTCATTATTTTTTAAGTTTAAATCAATGTTGTTGTAAATTACATGATTAGAAAGTCTCTTAACCAGGTGTTAAATTTCAAAACAACAGAAAGAATTTCAGAGTGTGCTGATTTTTCAGTGTGACTACATTCCCCAAGTGTCATAGTCACTTTTCAAAAAGGGATTTAGGTGATTTTGGAAACTACGCTTTCTTCCTTCACGTTTAAAGAAATTTCAGCTTGGCAAAATACATTTTGTCAGCTATTGTGAAATGAACATCATGGTCTCAGCCCACAAATGTCAAGTTGATCTACTGCCTTTACTGAAAAAACCCTACAAGATAGAAATTTTAATTCTAGCTTCAGCCGAAGGTCTGTAATCTAAAGTATTCATGCCTACTCATGCTTCTCCTAAGTGTCAGTTGAGCCTAATGCAGGATAGCACAGCAAAGCTCTTGCTGTTGCTGCTTGTACTGTAATCTCTCCAGAAGATAAAAGGAGTGCCTTTTGCAAACTCACACTGACAGACACTAAAGTAAAAGCTTACTCAAATATTCAAGGACCTTTTTGTAGAAACCATAATATTTCATATAAATACAGGGGAAAAAATAGGAGGCCATTTTAGTCTACTCTGCCCTCACATAAATGTAAACACCATTAAGGAGCAACTGCAGCAACCTCTATATTTTAGTTTTAAGTTTTTAGAATTATTCCTATGAACTGGCATTTTCTGTTCCCTTCCACTATGTATGCAGTATTTTTACCAAGTAATTGTTTACTGAGCACTTTGGCATGTTATTAAATGTCACAGTGTTTTCTATACTGGTGTTAACCTTTTAAATTCAGTCTCTGTACAGATGGACAAGGAGCCTGAAAATCTTTTTCTCCCTGCTAAGGATTCTTTTTTCTCCTCTGGACCATAAAAACACATATTTAAGACTTTCAAAAATAAAAGAGACATTTTAATAAAGGAAATGATTCACCTGAGAACAATGGCATTTTCTGTGGCACTGGCCAAATAAATGCTTCAAGTAACGGCCATATCTGCACTTGCAATCTGCAAATGGTAAAGGGCATGGCTGTGTTCCTGGGTTCTCCCCATAGTCTCATGCTGAGCTGCAGGGCCTGGGTCTGTGTGCATTTGCATGAAGAAAGATATTAACCAGCAAGAGGTAACATTCTGGTAGAGACAAAATGGCAAGTGGTTGTCACATGCTAGCAAGTCAGGATAAGCTATATTCCCTGTCACATTTCATTGCTAACTGATCTGCTAATTCATGACTTTCATGACTCCAGTAATTTTTTATCCCAGATCAGCTAAATCAGTGAAGAACTTGCTCTCTTTTTTCTAGTGAAACTCATCTCCCCGTTCTAGTTCTTCCTTGCTCCATGTGATCCAAGCCCACACTGCACTCATTGCTGAAAGCAGCCTCACTTGAGCACTGATAACCTCCTAGCACAGACCTCTGCGTGGGCTTGCTGCCTGCCACGGGCTCAGGTTCTGTGCGAGCTCTGCAGCCCAGCTGCGTGCTGCTGTGATGATGCTCCTGTCGGCGGTTTTGGATATGTCATACTCCTTTGACTGTAAAATACACATATCCTGAGGGGAATGAGCACAAGTGGTGGGTGGGGATTTTTCATCTCCATCTTGCCCTGTAGCTTCATTCCTCTTTCTTTCTTGTACCCCCTAAATTTTGAAAAAAACCACCTAGCTCAAGTTAACTTGCTCCATGTTAAATCTTGATGAAGCAAAGCACAGGTAACTTCCATCTAAATCCATCCTAATTTTAAGTCAACTGCCAAACTATTTGTTTAGCTATAAATTCAGGTTTCTTGTCTCCACAAGCAATTTTACTGTGACAGCAATCTTTGCTGTAGAAAGCCAAAAAATGAATCAGAAGAAAACTCCACACATCTATATACATTTCAGCAATGGAAATGTGATTTCTGGTATCTGTACAGTGAAGCTGGTCAAAGTAATCTGTGCCCAGCACAGAACTAATAGAGATTGCTGCCCCCTGTTGCGAGAGGACAACCAGAATTGCTTGTGAAACAGCAAAACTGTGCTGCTTTTACTGTGGTAATTCAGTGAAAAACTGGCCAGTAATAGATAACTCGCATCAGTTCATAGGATGTTGTTGCTAATGCTGCTGAGATGAAAGAAGACCACTTTATACAATCTGTGATTTTTATCAGTAGCTCTGACCAGATCAGTTTTGTCCCATGCTGTTTTATGCACTCATGTGATGTAGTTGATGCTTTTGCCAGCATGTATGTTAAGTGGATAAAGTACATTTTAAACACCCCCCCTCCCCACGGGATTTTACAAACAAAAATACACATTTATGCCAATCCCAGATCCCCTTTTGCCTGAATTTGGATGTTTGTGAAACGCACAAAGTGTGAGGCAAAGAAGAGGAGAAGATGTCTAGGTGAGCTCGTACCACCCCACTGTGTCTTGAGTTGGAGAGTACAAGGTGTGTAGACAGCACTGAAGAGCCCAGCCCCAGAGCTGAAACTACTTTAAAATATTTTTGGGGAAAAAAAAGAAAATGCAATTCTAAAAGAAACATGAATCACCGGGCACTGCTCTGAGCTAATGAAAGCATTCCATCAGCATTCCTAACACAGCCTGAAATTCCACTTAAACATTGTAGAAAATCAAGAGACCAGATTAAACTCTAAAAAGGTGATGGCGTTTCTTGTTAAAATTGAATGTGCTTTGCTTGGGGTCATTTTTAGTGAATATTATGCTCATGGGAATGTTAGAAAAATACTGAATATTTTGAGCCTTTAACATAGAATCATAGATGTGAATCTACTTCATTTAGACAGTAGTGGGAAACTTTCAGTCTGCTCAGCAGACTTTATGCTGAATTCTGTTGCTTCTACCATATTCACATACACGCACCCGTTTCAAAGAACTTCAGCCAAAACTCATTGAACTGGCTGGAAAAATTCTCCTTGACTTGAGGTCAAGCTCTAAATAGTCACTGACAATTTTCACAGTGACTAAGAGTATGTCGGCACCACAGTCCAATGTATGACTGAAGCTTGTGCGAATGCCAGAGTGACTTTTAAACTAGTTTGTTCGAGAGCTGAGAGTAGGATAGACATGGCAACACAGTGTTCAGTAAGGGCCTGTCTTCAGGAATGAACTACTGCAAAATGTTCTACGTCATCTGAAAACGCTGTTCTTAAACATCAGCTGAGGGAAATGTAAGAAAGCACTGAACGCTGATGTGAGCAGGAATCGAGGGCACTCCCACACCTTCTCAGGACTGCCCGGGATGCCTTTCCTCCTGACAGGGGCTCTGCCTAGCTCCTCACAACCCTGCAGAAAGAAAACAAATAGCAGTGTCTCAGGCGAGCTGTATACCCAGTTAATAACAGGGTGTTTTGTTAACAGGTGAAAAGCCTTTCAGTTGCCGGTGGCCCAGCTGTCAAAAAAAATTTGCCAGGTCTGATGAATTAGTTCGTCATCACAACATGCACCAGAGGAACATGACTAAACTGCAGTTGGCCCTTTAGGCAGTTCAAACAAGTGAATAAACCAGATGGGACATTATGAGCTACTGCAAACTTTATCAGCCATCTTCGATCACCTCTGTCAGAAAGCTGCAGCTGTCTTCGCATCCCATTTGACACAAGTTAACTAAACCGTAGGATTCTGCTCAGCCTTGTCTTCCATTTGGACTTATACAAGTTCCTATTCAATAAGTTCAAGAGGTTTTTATTTGTAATTTTGTTAAAAAGTAAGCAAAATTGCCACAGTTTCAAGATTACCATAAACTATGCTTACCTTCCACGTCTGTCTCCAGTTTTCTGGTTTTATTTTCACTAAAACTTTTCTAGGTACATAATTGTTGTACCTTTTTAAGTCCTGCAGTGGGTTGGGTGATTCCTCCCTGTTGAAGGTAAGCTTTACGCTTACTGCCTCTGTGTGTATGCTGAGGTTTCCAAATGCTAGTACAGCTGTCCTCACAAAATAAGATGGAACAATCACCTGAGATACTTTTGCTAAACCTTGTACTTGTACTGCCAAAGGGCAAGCTTTTAAAGTTGGAAGCTCTGCTTTTGAATTTCACAAATCAAACCTTTCTTTAAAGGACGTATTTCTAGAGCAGCTAAAGCTAGATGAACCAGAGCCTCTCTGTACAGAAAATAAGAATCTTACCATTAAGTTAACTTGTTTTTTAAATAATCACATAATTGATCCCCCGAAACTGTTTTGTTTGTCAAATAACTCTCTCCCTTTCTCTCTCTCTTTTTAATGTATTGGTTTAAATTTATTCTATCATGAGATGCATAGATCTCCTTTACACAAAACTAATTCCAATCATTGTAGACATTTGGGATTTGTTTACAATGTAAAGCCGCACTGGTTATGTGGCTAGCAAGCTGTATAAACTTAAAACTGAACTTTTAATGGGGCTGGTCCAGGATCTCCATTAACAGATTACTCTTAAGATAAGTAACTTAAAAAGACTCTTTGTCAAGTATATGTGAAAAAGACATTATTAGTGTAAGGAAATATATTGTTTCAGGGTTTTGGGAGGAGGGGTTTATTATTTACTTTTAATTGCTTGAAATTGTGTGTATATATATATCTGATAATGTATTGCTCTTAGACATCTAAAATTAGAAAGTGTATAAATATTAGATGCATCACTGTTCTGATGTTGTTGCTGTTACAAACTATTGATAACACTAAGAATGTAACCTGCATTTTTCACTGAGCTTTCAATTAAAGCCCATTCAAAGAGAAACAAATGAGAGTCCAACAGATGTCTTGTTTCATGTCTGGTATTAAATTTCAAATGCCCTGTCCAATAGTATCCTTTTTTTTTTTTTTTTTTGTATATAAAGGTACCACCAGCACTGATGACCACTAGTTAACCTGTCCAGGTCTTGACCACAATTTATCCATCTCACTTGGGAATCATACTGGCAGCAGAAAACAGTGTCAAGTTTCATATTGTGCTATAAAACGGTTGCTTCAATCGTTCGTCTTCTTACCAAACTATTCCTTTTCTTTCGACCTGTAAGATTTGTATAAGAACCTTATAGAACAGTAAAACCCAGTTTATAAATAGCAGTACTGGCCTTCTGTAGAACTGCACTGAAACCATAAGCACAGATAACTTCTTAGATTAGGATGTCATAGACTGACTTCTAAGTAAAAGTTAACTTAGAGTTGGGGTGGCTTAAATCAGTTCAAAGAAAAAGACAGTCTTTCTTAGATGATGAAGTGTGAAAATGAAGATAAAAAAATATTACTGTTTCTTTGTCATACTGCCTACTTTTCTTTGGAAGTAAGTACAGCCTGCTTCAGTGCCCTTTGACCTTGCAAAATATTTGTATCTCTTTAGCAAAAATCTTTAATGTATCTTGCCAAGCTTTTTTCTCTAATGTACACAATGGAGTTCTATGATGGGTTGAGCTTTCTCTCTTAAAGTGCAGCTGCATCGTCAAGAAAACTCAACAGTTAATTCTTCAAGTCCTCTTTTTCGCATGGGTATTGCATCACTGTTAATTACTGTTGGGGTACTGTGACTCATTTGTATCAGTCAACTTTATCTTTTGCTGCCAAAAGACAGCATCTCTCTGGAGAAACTCCTAACAAGTGTGGCAAACATCAAATATTTAGAGCGAATGGTGTACATAAAACTGCACAGAATTAAAAAATAAAGCAGCTCCTCCTGCTTTCTTGAGGGAAAAGTTCAGTTGCAATAACAATGTCCTCTGATTTACCCAGCAGTCTTCTGCAACTACAAAACAATCTGTTTTTCAGTCTGCACCCAAAATAGAGAGCTGCCACGAGTGTTTATACTAAAAGCCAAAAAAAGAAAAATCAGCCTCCAGTTGTGCCTGCATTAGTCAAACATAAATAAAACTATCTTTTGTGAAACACAACCAAAACTCCACTGCAGCACAGGCCAGACTTCCAGTGACCTGTAAATAACTACAGCCATGGTTTTGCTGCTTAGTGAATTGCATGCCAGATAATAATGGTAGATGGCTACAAAAAATGAAGCGTGGGTTGATGAGTGACAGAACATCTCCTTTTGTTTTTGCTGTCGCCACTTTTTCAATGAAAGTACTTGTTGCTACTCTGTTGTTTGATGATCATTACGTCCCCCAACCCGCCGAGTACAGTGAAGACAATGGTAAATGTTTACAAGATTTTTAAAATTTTTATTCCTAGTTATTTTACAGTCTTTGTCATGAGAGGCATTTTATGTCTCTTCCTTTCATTTCCCTGTTTTCAGGATTCCATCAGCAAGGTAAGCCACCTTTATTGAAGTGCTTTACTACATGAATTTCTCAGAAGCAGCCCCCGGATGCTGGTTCTTGCAGCATGCAATTCCTCATTTTGTGGCAAGCAGAAACTGCTCAGCAAGCCGAGTTTCTGTGAGCTTGACCTCCATATGAAAGATGAGGGGGCTGCACTCTATTATATCTTACAAGTATCCTTAGCTCTCTGGAAAATTTTCAATCCCATGATTAACTGAGCAGATCTTTTATGCCTCTGCCCTCTGTTCTTAAACTGAAAATAGTGACTGATGTTATTTTGGCTGATGGTTAATGTCTTACTGTGATTGGCATACTATTCCTGTCCTGTGGCTTCCATAGCCCCCCAGAATGGAGAATGTTAATTATATAGATAACACTTCTACTTTTTCTTGTCACTTCATGATGTACAAGATGTGTTGGGTTGGAAAGGGAATGTGATCTCTTCTCTCTCTGATCATGTCAGCTGAGATTCAAGGGTTCACTTGTACCAATTTTTTGAAGGTAGGTGAATCCAGCAAAGTGTCCCTTCTACTTTAGGAAATCGTGAGAGCTAACATGCCTAAATTGTAACCACATGATCATATTTTTCATGCATGTCATATTCTTTAAGGGTACGGACTGTGCTGGCTGAACAGCAGGTACAAAGACATTATCTTGCTGCAATTAGGCAACCAACCTGAAGGCAGTCCATCCTTCAGACAGGTGCTGGTTCCTGTAAGGGAAGGGGGGACCTTGCAAAGAAGTAGCTCTTTGCTTCTCTTTCCGTGGTGGGCTAGGTGAGTTGTTCGTTTTAGAAGCCACTTCGAGGCCTATCTGTTTCAGGATGTCAGTAGGATTCGTTTCACTGCTCCACCAACCAACCTCACAGCAACTGGGAACAGTTCCTGACGATGCAGGTAGCTGCCTTAAACCAGTGTTTCTTCCTCCTTCCCTTTCCCCAGGCAGGCACTGAGAAAACCCTATCAAGTGCAGTCTTTTCCCATCATCAATGTGACCTGACAGCAAATCTGGTAAGCAAGCTGCTCCCAGCACCTTGTCCAAAAGCCCGACAAGGCTCTGGAGTGGATCGAGGGGCTCTGAGAAGGTGCCTGCAGCCCCGCACCTCAGAGCTGCCTGGACCTAGCGTGAGGTAGGTACACAGAGGCAACCAGCAGCAGAGGTATGCTGCCAGAGGACGTGCAAAAGTTCTGCTGCTCGGTCCTGCTCGAGCCCTGTTTGTACCTTCCCCCTGCGGCAAGTACGGGCGGGAGAACCACTCAGCTGTTCAGCTGGGGAACGCTTCCTTGCTTGGGGAAAATCCTCCTCCCCCCTCCCTCCCCTCCAATTAAAAAAAAAGTGATTAAAGGCAGTGTATGCAGTTCAGAATGGCACTAATGGACAAGAAAGCCCAGCTGCAATATTTGGGGAGATCCAATAAAAGGTTCATTAGGATTCTTTTCGTTATTGGAAGTCCTGATGACACAAGGGGACCTAATGAAACAGAAGACCTGGTCACAAGAGCGATGAGTTAAAAAAAACCCAACCCCAAATCCCAACCCCACTGACACCATTCTAAAAATTAGACAATTAAGAGTAAAACCAGGAATGTAGCCAGAACTATTCCACCTCGAATAATAAACACAAGGATAAGTTGCCAAGTGAGGTCAAAGAAGCAAATGGTAAAGTGAGTTTAAGAGACAGCTAGACACTTTTATGGGGAGAGAGGGGATTGAAGGATACAGTGACAAAACTGGGGGTAGAGTTGAGATAAACCCAGAGGACAGGCACGGTGGGCCAATAGCCTCGGAAAGTGCTCTGAGCCCCAGTTGCTCAGCAGAGGAGCAGAGCAGCTCTTGGCGTCCGGGGGAGACTTACCAAGGCTGTCGGCAGCGTCCTGTGAGGGATGAAGGGAAACTGCCGGAACAGTTTGAAGGGAAGATGAGCCTGGCAGGCAGAAATGGGTGTGCTCTCAGATGCGCTGGTCGTAAGCGCTGCCCTTGGTTTCACTAGTGAGAAGCCCTGGCAGACTTGCTAAAAAGCAGGTTTTTGAGGAACTTCTACCCAAGCAGCTTGTCTTCTTGCAAGTTACCAATGCAGAGCACAGAAAGAGACACCAAAAGAAAAACAGAAAGAACAAACTTATTTTTTCATTTTTCATGAAAGACTACTTGTAATATAGGAAAGAACAGGGTTGGCTAGAATATGATTCAAATAAGGCAAAGACAAAATATACAAAGGTTATGTTCTTCTCTGCT